CTCTTCACAGAGGCTCCTGTCTCTCACAGGCATTTTCATCAAATTAATGGGATGACCAAACTCTCTGGGGGCCCACAAAACAGGGGCCCAATGTCGAGATCAATATGTAAAAGCCAAAGGGATAAAATTTCCATTTCTTCAGTCTACATGTGTTGTTCCTGTCCTTCAGCTGGAACAATTCATCAATTAGTCAGATTAATTATCGTGTTCTTTAACATTTAATTATTTGCTGCTTCACAAGTGTGAATTTGATGATTATTATAGAAAAGACTAGATTTTGGACTTTTATACAAAACCATTGGTAAAACTTTGGGATATATATTTACTTCTTAGACAATCCATATTACCATCCAATCTTTTGCAACTTGATTTGCGCTTATGATCAGAACATAACTGGGCCCCATTTTTTCTCCTGTTGTCTAAATTTTCATTTCATTGTTTTATCTGACTGATTCAGTGATTTACCAAGAAAATAACAATTTATTTATTCATGATTAAAAATAATAATAATTAACTGTGGCCTCAATTATAAATGATTTGTGAACTAACATTATCCATTCAAGTAGGCCTACTGCTAAGATTGCAATAGAGGTCACATTTAGTCAAATTAATTAGTTACATCATTATTTGCTGCCATTTAAAGAAAGAAAAACATCAACTATAACTTCAGTTAGTTATTTTTGCATCAGATCTCAAAAATAACTCATCTCAGTGTTCTCAGCTCCATTCTCTCCAAACTGTTTTCCTTCTTTGTGGAGTATTGTCTCCGCTTCCTTATGAAATAGTTGCTCTTTGAAACATTCAAAATGATCAGGATCTATTATTAGGTGTTAAATTGACTTTCCTGATTTGCAGTTTGAAAAGACTCTTTATTCCGGTTGACTGAACCTTTTTGTCAGCAAATTGTCATTGCATCTTCCTTTTTGATTTTGCTGAATGACGTTGCTCAGTCCAAATACTTGAATCTAAAAAAGTGACTTTGAAACATAAAGAGTTATTTTTACATTTTGTCTGATTGTTGTTAATGCAGCCGTTTGCGTCTTATTCAGTTTAACAGAACTTCATGAAAACAACTCATTCATGCCTCTTTTTGTTCCTGTTGTAATTGGCTCATGAATGTGACCTTTTACTCCGTCAACCAGAATTTCCTGATATTGAAAAGCTATCTTGGCAGCATGCTCATGATTCTGACCAGCAAGAATAAGCTGAGCATAATTGGACAGTGTTACTCCGCTTGCATCCTGGACTTTGAAATGCCAGAGCCAAAAGAACGCATCAGCGTCATCCAGAAAGGATTGTGTGTTGAATGTCCTGCAAGAGATGCGAAAATCAGATAGCGGGAGATAAAGCTGAATAGCTGGAGTGTTTGAAATGCCTCATTTGCACTACATGAGTCAGACCATGTTTGGTCTCAGTGGGAATGTCTGGCTTGACCTTAGAGGAAGAATTCAGCTAGCCGCTCACAGTCAATCACAGTTGACTCCTTTAGCATAAGGAACAATGGTCTGATTTGAATTGTCCAAGAATGAATGGGTTGAGAAAATGAAACATGCATGTCTGTGGTCTTAAACCAGCACTGAAAAGAACCAGAACTCAACCACTGACCAAAGAATAAAACTGAAATGAGATGTGACGTTTGCTAATCTGTTTACAACTTAAGCAACTCTGTGAGGCCGTTATTTGCAATAAAATTGTTGGAGCTAAATGCAAATCTTTTGCATGCTAACATGGTTTTAGTGTGTATAATGTTGACCATCTTAGTTTAGCATGCTGAAATTTGCTTGTTGGGCACAATGTAAACAGATGGTGGTGGAAATCAAATTACTTTTGCTATTTGCTCCCAAAACTAGAAAAATTCAAGTGTTGGCCTGATGGTGGCAGTATATTGTGACATTTTGCGTGAATTCATTATGTAGATGTTGAGATAAAAGTGATGGCATAAGATAAAAAGTCAGGGATGAATTGAGTTGGTTTCATCATCTGGGGTCAGTGGCGATGTTGATAAATTGAATCCACAGTTGTCAACATTTCTGTGTGGAACAAACTGGAAGGATAAACCTTGGTTTAACTTCTGTAAATGTGTTTTACAGGGAAAAAACAAGACGAGACCAAATTATCAAGCTTTTGCTCGTTATAAGTCTCGAAAATTAAAAGAAAGTCAATTTAATAGTTGTTACTTCTTCCCCCCAAATCTAGCAATCACAGAATCTTTGTTCAAACCTGATTCAGGCGTCAGAAACACCATTTTCTTTCCTGTCAGATTCAGTTTCGAACACAACGTGCGTTTTACTGTAGAGCCTTTGTTGTAACGTTCGTGATGCTCGATCTTTCTTTGGATGATTCACAACTCAATTCTTCACGTTCTGTTCCAGTGGCTCAGGCAGCGCCACAAGATTTATACGACGCCACTGAGGTCTTAAACGTTTCTCCCTGAAGATGAATGCGAGGTTACTGGTCTGCCCACAATGTTTCAAAAGTATCCCTGATGACTACCTGGCAGAGACACTGTTGACAATTTGTACCATTGTGATTTTAACCAAGGAAATTATTCAAGGGCATTGATCAAATCCAGCGTCTCACTCAGCAGCCATGTTTGTGTTCTGAAACTATGCTTTTCTCAGCTGTTTATTTTCATGCAGGGTGAGCTAGAGTGCAGTAACCTGACTTAAGGTCGGCTGATTTCACATGAAGCAGTCGTTCATCACTTCAGCTCTGTAGTCGCCCTGCAAGGCGGCAGCGCTATTCACTGTGGTAACCAATCTGGACAGTGCTAATGCAGGTTTGAGATTGTTTCCATATGGCAACTGTTTTCAGCGAAGTCGCTCTGCGTGGGTCTAGAAAACCCGCTTTCATTTCATGCTCGCCTGCTTCAAGCACACAACGTGAAACAGTTAGACAACTTTCACACTAGCAGCCGTAAACAACACTGTCCACCTTTAACCTGCGTGAATAAATCAACGGCAGGTTGCTGGAAATTCTCAGAAGACAAAGTCAAAGTACCTGACCAATTATTTATATCACCGGTTGTTACATTGTTTAAAATTAATGATATAAAAAACCAAAGGAAAACTTTGAATAAGTGAACCCAGCTAAACCAAAAATTACGCACTCATGTATCAGCTCCCTAAATGTGCATTTATTTTTTCATCAAGATTTGTGAATTATTTTATTCTGTCCAGTAGTTTTTTAGTAATCTTGCTTACAATCAAACCAACAAACAGGCATAACTGTCTTGGTGGAGGTTAAAAATCCAATAAAATTGTAATCAATAAATCAAGTAGTCAAATTAATCAACAATAATTTTGACTAATCGAGTACGTTCAAGCTTCTCCGATGGGAACATTTTCGGTTTTATATCATTGTTCAACAAGTATTTTGGGGGTGCAGACTAAGATTTTGGTTCTAGAAGATTGTGACAAATTTGACTATTTGACAAATAAAATAAGTTGATTAAAAAATAACTTAAGTTGTTAGTTATAGCCCTAAAATATATCCCATCTCTTGTCTCCTTGAATAGACTTAACCCTCCATCTGCATAATACAGCGATCACTTAAATGCCACTTTTAGATCACAGTCGTCTTTGAAATGTATATTTGGGGTTTTGTTCTGTTTGTCAGAAGACTCTTTCTCTGGACAGCAATAACTGCCCTTTGTAAAAATGTCCCTTCTCTCCTCAAACACTCCCTCACTTCCTGCCGCCTCAGTCCTCAAGTGAGCGCCTCTCTGGCCCATTTCTGCCAGGGTGCCCTCTGTGACCTCTCTGCCCCCCCTCTGGAACAGCCATGCTGTGTGATGTGAAGGCCTCCACTATATGTGCCTGTGTGAGCTCGACCCCTGCAGCGGGCTGCTGCGCCAGAGTCCACGTTCCAGAGCTCCAGAGCTCCAGCAGCAGTTCTGGCACCGCTTCAGAGGATGGTAACCGCTGGTGGGGGAAGCTTCAGCTCCGGGATGCGTCCAGAGGTCCAACCTCCTGCCATGCTGGGTCCCAGGTGTGAATCCTTCCATGGTCATAATGTGTTCATTTTTACATTTCACTTCTGTGCAGCCTGGGCACATTAACATAGATGCAAGTGCAGCAATGACTGGGGACTGAAGAGGAGTAAACTGAGAAGGATATTGGAGAAAAGTCAACCATTGAGGACGGGAGGTACTGGGGAAAAACACAGGATTATGTTTAACCCCATGAATACGTTATTGATGTAGACTCATTCTTTTCCAATATCTCCAAACACTAATTAGACTATTTCACATTAGTATGAAAAGTAACTGACAGGCAGGAGATTACATCATTTATCCTATTTACTGATTACCTTCAGCAAGGAGGATGTTTTCTTCTGCATTTGTTTGTTTGCAGGTTTACACAAAAATTCTCAAAGATGTTCCCTGCAATTTAGTGGGGGGGTGGGGCATCGAAGAGGAGGAAGAACCAACTAAGTTTTGGTGATGGGGGAGGATCAAGAATCTTTTCTCTCCTCAGAATAATTCATTGATCTTGATTTTTTTTTTTTTTTTTTTTTCAATCAAGCATATAAAGGAGACTGATATTTATGAGTTTGTGTAATTTGGTGCAGATCCAGTTAAAATATCACAATTATAATAAGTGATTTTTTTTTCTATCAAAAATATTGTTCACTGAAAAATCAATGACAATGTTAAATCGTACTGTAATAATATTTAAAAGAGTGAAAAGGTAAACTTCTGGATCCACATTTAAATGTAATGTCATCTTTTCTTGTCCCACCCCTCCACAAAATTACAATTAATTGAGTTTCCTTTGCACAACAAACACAAAAACATGCAGATAAAACCTTATCTCATTGGTGGGTTTATAAATAAAGGTACCTGGAATGGAGCAGCAATAAAAAAAAAAAAGTAATGATTAGTTAAGACTCCATTCACAAAGACAATTTGACGAAGACTGAGCAAATATTTTACCAGTACAATCTTCAGTGGAAAAGCCACGAGGTGTGTAAACCAGATAAACGACTCGACAGACATCCAATTTCAATGGTTTATGCCAGAGTAGTAAAAACGACAACTGCAAGGCTTCTGTTTGCTGCTGTTGTAATATTTAAATTATACTTGTTTGACTTACAATGCCAAGTGGCCCCGTGCCATCGAGCTGGATGCAGAGAGAGAGAGAGAGAGAAATTGGGATTGCTCTTTCGATATTTCCAATCTTTGCGGAGTAACTGAAAACATTGGGATTTGTGATTACAGTCATTTTTGTGATATTGATTCATGTGCGGGCGGCAGCAGCAGTTTCACCCATGCGGAACCGCGGCTTGAAATACAGTTCTCAACAAAGGGCAAACAGTTACTGACAAAGCAATTTTCCACTCAAGGTCTCCATAATACATTAAGGAAGGTTTAACTTCACCTCCATAGATCATGCTATGAAAATCAAAGTATATTTTAGTGGCTGGATAACTCATGTGACAGGAGTGTAATTACATAGGAATATAAATTAAAAGCCTCTTCAGAACAACGTGCATAGTCTGGTAAGAAACTTATTACAAGTTGAGCAAAAAACACCTGAGAACAGATTCCTCTTTGTTTAATCACGTTGCTTTGTTTACGAGTTTACAGGAACAGGAAATGATCACCGAGGTGTTTTTAGTGGAGCTGGACGTCAGACACGGTGAAGTCAGTGAGTCTGGATCTGTTCTCCTCTACACTGGATTTCAAATGACACAACAACATATGGAGAGTGCTGACTTCCAACTTTAAAGTTGCTCTAAATCTCCATTGCACTAACTGACCATGAGTGGCTGTAATATAACGAGACGTTCGATGTGACAGACTCGTGTTAACACGCGACTGCAGTCCCCCAACCTGGAAACCAGGCCGATCATTTATCTCGTCTATTTGCTCTTACAGATGAGTTCGACTCCCCCTCCTCCCGTTCAGAATGATTTACATGCCTCCTGAAACTCCTTGGGCCAATCACAATCATTTAGGAGCAGAAGATAAAATGGCGCCTGCTAACAAAATCTCTTAATTACACAATTGCGAGACAGTGAAACAGACTGGACAGTTTATTTTTGTACTTGCAGCATTTGTTGATACGCTACGATGCACGTCCAGTCGCTCAGATTTGTTGTAGGTTCATCCAATTCATGCATCTCTGAATGCAAACTGGTCTGGGGGATCTAACCTCTATACCTAGATTGTGAAGACGCAGAATCTGTAGGTGAGGGTTTCCTCCTGGTTCGACCAATCACACTTGAGCGGCTTTGGTTTCCCACAGGTAAAAGGGATGCGTCAGCTGTTGCCTTTATAATTAGAGTTAGTTTTAAGGTTTGGGGTTTGAGCTAAAATGTTGCCTGGATAAAGTACCACAGTTTGTGGGGAAACTTCGACTCGTGTGATTGAAGAAAAGAATTGGACTGTTAATAGTGCATGGTGAACAGAAGAGGGAGTCTCCTCCCCGCTGTCTACGTCGGAAGACCCAAAATATTGGCCATCGACCCCCAGAGCCTAATTCTTTGTCAGACAATAGCCAGTGGAATCCAAGGTTGGGGGAAACGCTGCCACCAGTTCCCATCGTCTCCATGGAGATTTTTGTCTTCCTTTTAAACATATAATCTGATACTAGAAACCCAAAGTGGATGTGAACTTCAAAAACCCTGAAACTTGAAAGTCTGCACTTACATCTCATGATCTCTGAAGTATTTAAAACCTCAGTGTGTTTAGGTAGAGCCAGAACAGAAGAAACACTTTGTCCCAACACTGACACACACTACACACATGAACCTTTCTGTTGCTGCCCTCAGTAACTAAACAAAGTGACTGAAATGTGTTGATAACAGGAAGCTCGAGCAGTTCTGTTGAAATGCAGATCATGGTTTGAACTGCTCTTTATTCTTCCGGGCTTCGTAGCCTCTTAGCGTGGTGGCAGGAGCGGCTGAGAACAATACAGGCAAGTCTTTCATCAGACATCTGTCATCTCATCCTCTATCTCGTCCCCCTCTGTTTCACCTTCTGCCTCGCCTTCTTCTTCCTCCTCCTCCTCTGATGTCACATCCAGCTCGTCCATCTGGGAGACGCACTTTGGACATGAGCAGACAAACAGGTAGTTCTCCCTGGGAAGAGAAATGTCCCACCAGTCACATTGTTGCACCTCTAACAAGAGCCGAATTAATCAAGAGGCATTTTACAGTCTGCTGTTCAGAAAATCTGGTGCCGTTCAGCAGCCGCTGTGCACTGGAGCAAATGAATGTTTAATAATGTAATTAACACTTGTGGGGCAATTAATACATCCAGCTGGTAGATGTGGGGGGGGCTGAGAATTATCACAGGATGCAGTAAAAACTTTATGCATCCCAGAGACTCGCAAAACAAACCCACCCGCCCGGAGCATCGGGGTGTAACTCAAAGATGAAATGACATCATGTTGATCAATGAGGAGCGTGAGCAGAGGGGCAGCCATCAGACCCCCTCGCATCGCAGCCACAAGACCGAGCATTACCGCCCGGAGGCTTTTTTATTGATCCACACGGAGTTTGCAAAAGTGTGACCCCCCCCATTCAAGTGATTCATCCGAGAGAGTACAAATGTTTACCTCAGGGTTTTGTGTCTGCTGTGACGGCTTCGGTCCCGCTGACAACAGTCCAAGTAACTGATGCAGATCTCCTGAAAATTGGAGAAAGCAAACGGTTGAACAGGCTGAAGGAGCTCGACATTAAAGCTGCAGTCGATAGGATTTTGAAAATAGAATTTGAAAGAGTACAACTTCCAGACCCCTCCCCCCCCTTTCCACTGAGCTCCTGCACCGTCTCCAAAGGATTTTTATTTGGATCTGTACCAAATTGCAAACACTCATGAATATCAGTCCCCTTAAGATGTTGGATTCTTTTCATTAAGATCCTTGAATTACTCTGAGAAATCAAAAATGTAGAAAAATGCTTTATCTTGCGATGTTTAACAAAGTGAAAAAAATTCCTGGATCCACATCCTGATCCAGATCCGTACAAAAACTAATTATGGATTCATTCTTTAATCCAGCCTCACCCCTCAACAACATCACATGCAAATCGGTTGAGTAGTTTTCGCTTAATCTACCAAACAAACAAAAACACAAATGAAAACATAACCTGTTTGCGGAGGTAACTAAAATGGCAAATACCTCTGCCAACAGTTCCTCAAATTCAATCAAACTGCACCAAACTCATAGATATTAGTTCCCTCAAAATGGCTTTTCTATCAAGATTCATGAATTATTCCCTGGAAAATTTGAGAAAATGTCAAAAATCGCCTTCTTGCAACGATAAAGAAAATGTACAGGATTTTTTCTTAGCCCAGGTCCCATCCCTCCACCAAGTTCTGTCGAAATACATCCAGTAGTTTTTGTGTAATCCTGCTGAAAAACAAACAAACCAAGGCTCAAATGAAGTAACTTAGTCAAAGAGTCCAACAAACACAACACTGGTATTTTTCAAAGTAGCTCTCCCCCCCTCTCTCTCTCCTGGAGAAACACAAAGTGTTTCTGTCTTTGCCAGCATTCAATCGGGAGCTTTGCTGTGAACGCGGCACGGCTGCTCTGACGTTACTGTGCCGTGCAGAGGCAAGGCTTCTCAATCTTTCTGACAGCTCGACAAACCCACTCCAATCCTCAAAGTCTCTGTCGTCTAATACTGTCTGACAACGGCGCGCACAAAGCTAGGGAGGGATGTTCTGTCCCGTCTATCCCAGGCCAGAATTTATCACCCCGAAACCAGTCGTGTCAGCTGACCTCTCCTGGGTTGATGTCACTGAGGGCACTGAGGTGAAGCAGGAAATTGTTGTCGGGGAAGGACGCCTCGGCGTTGGGCGAGCAGCTGTGGTTACCTGCAGAGGTCAGAAAGGAAGAAGACGTCAGACGACCCCTTGACCTGAAGAACATGTCTGAAGTGAAGTGACAGCGCTCGTAACACCGAACGCTTCACATCATCATACATCACTGCACTTACATGAGCTTTGAAGCAGAAACAGTCCGGAGCCCTCACAGTTCAGGAAATCTCCCGTTTCTACACAGAGACACAAAGACACATTCCTGACCTGGCATCTACACACACTTTGTGTAACATTGGGTCAACACACAATAAACAATCATATATCACGACCGTTACAAATCTGCTCAGTTCAACAATAATTCACTCAAAAATAATGAAATAATGAAATACTGCAAGACTGCGATAAAACTGTGACCTTTCTCAATGTCCTTGTACAGCTGGTCAATAAAGGAGTCCAACTGCTCCCTCTGCTGGGCAGGAAGCTCCAGTGCATCACAGCCATGGACCCACTGACTGAGGGAGCTGGAATCGAACATACGGAGTAAATCATGAGAGATTGAGCTGAAGTTAATGAGTCGAAGTGATGAGCTGGAGAGGAGAGCGTTTACCTGGTGCCGATGCCTTGTCCGTTAGTTCCCACCAGAGCGAACAGAGAGCGGAAACCCTCAGGAACAAACCACTGCAACATCATAACTCCGTTACTGATGCATGCTGGGACAATTCCTCTTTTTTTTTTTAACCCTTTTGTGCTGAGGTCAGAGCTACAGCATCACTTTAATAGGAATTTACTACATGTATGTACATTCTTCTTTACAGTTCAGCCCCTGAATTCAAATTACTCAGGGTAAGTCAATCCAGGGAAAATGAAGCTGCAACTTTAACAAATTATTGGTAATTGTTTGAGTCACTTTTCAAATATTTGAACGTAAATGCTTCTTGAATACGAGGATTTTCAATAAATATTGGAATTTTTCGAGGTATGACCTTTTTTTTTTTTTTACTTTTAACACTCTGGGCTCTGGGAAACTAAAATGTGCATTTTTCAATTCATGGAGAGAAATAAATCTGCTCATTCATCAACAATTAAGAGGAAAATTGGTAATTTTGGATTAGCCAGTTAAAATGCCGGTCAATCTAAATAAATTGATTACCAACTATTTTCATAATTTATTAGTTGTGTAATTTAGGATGCAAATACAGTGGAAACCACTTATAGTGATCACTATAACCAAATTATTTAAACAGCATCTGTATAGATTCTGACCCAAGCTTTTTGATCCATATAAAGAGCAACTAGAGATTATTTTAGTTCACAATTAATCTGCAATGAATCATTTCTATTAAATGAAAATAATGAAAAACATCACATTAATATTTTTCTGAAGCCAAGGTGACTAAAAACATTTCAACAATAACTCAACTATAAAAACACTGATGACATTTGTGCTAAAAGTGATTTAATAGATTGAAAACAAATGAGTCCAAATCATAAAACAATGTGATTATCTCAGACGTCACTGGCAGCTGAAGCATTCCAGAAAAAAATAAAAAAATAAAAAAACATGTGTTGGCCACATGTGAGACGTACTCACCCGACTGAGATGCTCATCGTAAAGTGCTGCTCTGAAAAGGCCGTGTAACGAGGCCAGCTGTCCCTACAGAAACAACATGAAGGAAACAAATATTATATTATTATGAGAGCGAACATACATCATCAGCATCAGTGTGGAATCAAACTGTGTCAGGGGACAGAGCCTTTGCTCAGTGACACGTTATTTATTCCAGTTTCTATAAGAGGACGATGCTTTTCTCTCTGTTCTTTGAAGAAACGTGACTTTTTGTTTCAGAAATAACGTGACGGTCACTCACTCTGAACTTTTCTCCCAGGAGCTTATGGGCGATCTCCTCCTCCTCGTTCGCTGTCCGGCTGCAGAAGTGAGAGAAGAGCTTCTGCCAATGTGCTTTGTCTTTATCCTGCACAAACACAACCAATAATAATACTCTGTCACTATGGTGATACTTCTACACAGTACTGATGACTGGGTCACACGTGACTAGGAAAATAAGTGTTATATTAAGAAAACTGTGAAACGAGAACTGGGGGAAACTTAATCTAGGTATGACTGTTTAGAAGCAAGAAACTTAAAAATTACAAGATGGACTTCGACAAACTTTGGTGGAAGGATACGATACGACAGTTCAGGGAAGAACCCATGAAATGTTGGTGCGTGTCTGATCCCGGAATTTCTTTTATCCCTTTCTTTAACATTGTGAGATACAGCATTTGTCAACATTTTCCTTGGTGCCATTCAACTCTTTTTAATGTTAACACTCATTAACACTCAGAGTCACAGCTTCTACCTCAAAATAATCTCCATGTTATATATTTGGTTTCTGTTAATTTCAACTCACAGTGCATCTCATTATAATTTGTTAACTGTAAGTCAGGTGACAGGCTGTTAAAAATAAAAATAAGAATCTTCTTCCCACTTGTCACCTTAAAAATTAATTTCACAACCAAGGTCACTATTTGTTATCGCTGCTTTTCAAGTTTTACCATAAACATTGATCAACACAAAACAAAATGTTTAAAATGGAGATTGGGCATTCATGCATTCAAGTTTTTTTTGTTTAATATTTGCCTTTTTAATCTGTTTGGATGTCTGCAGGCTACACACAGCTGAATTAATTAAACCCTACATAAGTCAAACCCAACATTTGTAGAGTGATCAGAGACTCACCTGCTTGACTAAAGCAACCATTCTGGCCATGAGCATGATGCTGGAGGTCTCAGGAGGATAATGCAAACTCCTGAGGAGGAGAAACATCATCTGTTCAGAGGTGTAGAGACACTTTAAGAAGAAACCAGCGCTCTCACATGGGTTTTCAATGGAAAACACATTCAGTGGCCAATTTATTAGATGCAGCATTGCAATCTCTCACCCCACACATATGTAAACAGGCAAAGCATAATTGAAACACCTCTGAATATAATTTGTTCTGGTACAACACCACTTCTGAGAACTAGATGACAAACTTAAACTTATGTAAAATAAACAGAAACTTAACTTTATAAACATTAGAATAAGGTGGAAGTTGTTTTATTTTATATATATTATATATTCTACAGGTGTACCTAATAAAGCGGTCACTGAGTGTGTGTCAGTGCCCCCTCACCTCCATGCGTCTTTCAGCTTGTTGATTGGATGATCTGGATCGTCCTGGGACGAACCCAGACACAAAACTCGATGGTACTGATCTGCTGCAGCTTGTCGACACTCGCTGCTACAATACATCACCTGCAGAGGGAGACAGATTCACATTGAACATAAATAAAATAATGAAAAGAATTGTAAACCATTTCAAGTGTCAGGTTCACAGGCAGCAAGGTTGTTTTTCTACATCATTGGTTTGTGTTTTTATTTGTTATACTGATGTTCTCCCGTCTGAAATAAAGGGAAAGGAAAAGTTATCCTATGTTTATAAAAGCATCAAACATTAGTCTTGAAAATATTAAGAGTCACCCAGTTCAAAAGCACAGTGATACAACAAATGATCAGTTTAAATTAATTTCAATTCTCATCACACAGGGTCTGAATACTTTGTGACTCTGATGTTTCAGATTGTTCTTGTTAATAAATCTGTGGAAGTAAATCTGTCTTGTCCTCATTGTGTGGAACTGAATGTGGATTAATGAGGGAAACGGTTATTTTAATGATTAACAGTAATGTAAATGTGAAAACAGGGTGAAGGGGTTTGATGCATTTCAATTACACTCTGCCGTTAAAACACAGCACGTCTGCATGTGTGTGATTCTACAAATGCAAAGAAAACACCAAGGACAAAACAGTTGACTCAGTTTGTCACTTGGGTGTTGGTAAAGTGTGGAGTGGCTTATTGATCCACAGTAACAACACCGGCCTGGAAGAGGTGGTCAAGTTCTCTACCGCCGACACAGAGGAGGTTCTGTCCCGACCGCAACTTGTTCAAAATCAATAGCTTTCTAGTTTCACAAAATATTGATCGGGATAAAAGGTCAGTTCTTCAACATCAGTGGGGAATCGGCTCCTGAGTTGATGCTCAGACCTGGCACTGGGGGCAGGCCTGGTGCAGCTCTGGTCGGACCCGGCACAGCTCAGGGTGAGGAAGGCTCAGTCCGGGGATTCCGCTGAGTCTCCTCGCATTCTCCTCCGCCGTCTCCAGAGCACGTAGGCAGAACTCACAGGCTGCAGGAGGACACAGAGCGGCAGGGACGCAGATGAGCAGAAAACTATCACTGAGGATCCTGTTTGTTTAATATGGCTCCGCTTCGTTCTCAAACTAAAACCCTGATTTATACAGAATGTGTAAAGTTCATGCTCAGCTTTCTGTTTGTCTGTAACAACCTCTCCAGCAGAGTCTCACAGGACTCTGTTCTCATTCCTGTTTCAACATCGAGACGATCATCGAAGCTAAAACCTGAACAACTGTACATCTGAATATGACAACAAAACAACTCAAGCAAAAATACTGTGAGGCGTCTGTTCTATCCCCCTCTTGAACACTGATGGGTTGTGTAAACAACAAAAACAATTCTCTGGTGAACAGTTGAACATATTTTAAAGTTATTACACAGATGAACTGAAGTCTCAAACGTTTCAACACAAACTGAACCTTCACTGCAGGACGTTGTTATGAGACTTCATTACTTTCTGGAGGTAATAATGATAAATAAACCAGAAACTGGATTTATAATGAATTCATTGCTCAAAGGTCAGTTCTCTTTCTGTGTGTAACATGTGAACATGTGATTGGTGATTTCATTTCTTCTGTTGTTGTTAGTTTCACTCACCTTTATATTTGTACAAAGAATTCCACAGGAACTGAGCAGAGACGAGGGGACGCTCAATGAAAATGCTGTCTCCTTTCTTGATGCTCCTTTTAGCAAACAGACCTTTACCCTGAAACATGAAGAAAACCTTTATTGATCTAGATGATGACACGTGGATCATCAGTCATTAATCACAGCAGCTTCTACTTTGACATTTCTATCTTGAAATCTGAGTCTGAGCACTTGAAAGTCTCCCAATTTAAAGTCTAGTTCTTGTTCTAGTTTCCTGACTCATACTTACTTTCTAGAAATGTGTACTTTAACACACAGGAATTCAAATTGTCAAACAAATACAGCTCTTAGAGGCATCAGGTAAAATAATATGTCTTCATGTCCATCAAACACTTTATCTGAATAAATAACTACAAGTAACAGTACGGAGGACACAACATGTCAGCTCAACAGTAATAAAGCATGTCAGTGATTTAAT